GCCCTAGGGCAACCCACACCGACTGCCGCACGCCATCTCTACACGGCAACAGGGCCCCTCAGCGCAAAAGGAAACTATCCCGGACGATGAGCCGGAGGCTGGTCAGCCGTGAGCAGTGGCGACGCCGAACCCAGCGCTGCATGTATGGCCATGGACTCAGGGTGACTCCGGACCCCGGATCAGCGGCCGCCACAGCAGCACGTCAGTTGATGGCAGATGCTCGCGGCTCAGAGGCACGTGGGGGACCACCCCACCGAGGTGGACCAGCCGAGAAGGAACTGGGGCGATGTGGCCCCAAGGCTGGCGGTGCTGCCTGAAAACCTCCATCCTGTGACCTTCAAACTACGGCTGTGAGCTGGGCGAGATGAGGGTGCGCGCACATAGCTGTGCCAGGCCGGTGCATTCCCCAGATGGCCAGGACCCCGGGAAGCCCCTCAGCAGGACAGCAGGAGGCAGGACGGACTGCAGACACCACGCTCTGACCTGGCCAACCACGGGCCTTAGGGTCAGGGTCCGAGCCGCCCTCCTCGATGGCTCAGGTCCACCTGCTTGGCACTGCAGCCAATGCCAGGCTTCAGCCCTACCCCTGGGACGAGGACATCGCCACTGCTCCAGGGATGGGTGGGAGGATGGGAGGCAGGCAGGGCGCCAAGCCGGAGTCCGATGTGCCCTGACACCCTCTCAGGAGGCCCGAGGACAGAGACACCAGTGGAGGCAGCGCCTTTACTGACACGGTGCTGGGGACACGACACCCCAGGGAACCTCAGCAGACGGGCGGCCCCGGGCAGCAGGCGGGCTGGGCTGACACAGGCCCAGGAGGGGGAGAGAGGCGACCCGGGAGCCCGGGAGCCGAGGCTCCCTGCTCGGCCACCGGAGCCGCCGCGGCCCCTAGGGAAAACGCTCCAGGCGGGGCCACGGCCCGAGCACTCCAGGATTGCCGGGCCCGGGAAGAATGCGCCCCTCGCTGGACAGCATCTGGAACTCGTCCACCAGACACTGCAAGTCCGCTGCGGAGAGGGTCGTAGGCAGGCCGCGGGGAGGCGCCCGGCGTGGGCCCCCACCGGCCTGCGGGCCCATGGGCACCTGTCGCTGTCCAGCCCCCGGAGCCCCGGAATGGAAGGCCGGGCCCGGGGTCCACGGAGCCAGCGCAGGCTCAGGGCCCTTGGGGCACCCCCAGCACAGCGGGGGCGGGTCTGGCCCGGTGGGCACAGCCCGGCAGAGCAGCCCGGACGGAGCCAACCCTGGCAGGTGGCCGGTGGTGCGCCCGGGCCAGGCCAGCCGCAGCCTCCTCCCCCAGGCCCTGGGGACCCCGACCAGTGCCCGCCCCACCAGCCCCGCTCCCTGGAGACCGGGCCCAGGGCCTGGGCCGACCTCCCCCGCCCCCGCCCAGGCTTGGGCATACCGAGTCGGCGGTACAGCCGGTCGATCTCCCTCTGCAGCTCGGGACACTGGTCGGCACGGAGGAGGGACAGGAGGGTCAGAGCGACCGGGCAGCCCGGCACCCACCCGCCGCCTCCCA